TTGTAAAAGGTGCCTGATATAATCACCTCCAAAATTTAGGGGATGAGAAAAGCCCAAAGGAAATCAAGAAAAGAAAACTACTGACTTGTAAAACCAAAACCATTCACCGCTAGAAGCCTGAACTCAAGAGTTACACCAGATAGGAATATTACAAAAAACAAAGAGAACAGATAGATGTAAGAAATCTGGGGTTTAGGTACTCTGACCTTACGACTTGTAAAACCAAAACCATTCACTGCTAGAAGCCTGAATTCAAGAGTTACACCAAAAAGGAATATTACAAAAAGCAAAGAGAACAGATAGATGTAAGACATCTGGGGTTTAGGTACTCTGACCTTACCTCAAACTGAGGCCAATTCATTGACATCCCTGGACCTTGATTAGCTCTAAACCACCGCAAGTCTTCCACAGCATCTGCTGTTTTGATATTCTGTTCCAGTTCACGGTAAATATTTTTGTAGCTGAAAAACAAATTTGTCTTCGAATTTAGCATAACATTTAGAAACATGGCACGTCCCCATGTCAGATAAAAAAAAACCCTCACAGTTCACAATAGTATTGGAAACAGCAAGACAAACCTCTAAGAACTACGACAGACCTATTAAGTGCCTGTAAAACAGGAAGATCAGTCCAACAAGTAAGCTTACTGAAAGGTCACAGAAATGTAGAATCCTCATTTGCCACACTTTAGAATTATGACTCTTGTGTAAAGTAACTTAATCAGGTGTCATTAAATGTAGGGTTTACGTAAGAATGTATTTAAATTATTGAATGCCAATCTTGAAATTTCTTGAATTTAAAAGCTTGTCTACAAGACAGTAGAAACTGTTTTTATGATAAGTCCATATCATTCTATGAGAACTCCTGTCTTATCCTAAGAGAATTTTAAGTCATTATGGAGGTCTGTATCTGTAAAAAACAGGGCAGGGCTGTTTTCTGGACTCTGCTCTTCAGTATTATTAGTAGTACTAAATTTAAAAATCAAACTTTCTTTTGGGGGTTTATTCTACCCTTTTTATCTCTCTATTCAAAGATGCAGAGATAAGGAAACAAACAGCTACAATTGCTTTATCCCTAGTATTATCCTAAATAATTCTTCATTTGCCCTTTATTAACATACTGTAAGACACAAATCCTGAACCTCCTAAGTACCTTAAATCATTGCCTCTCCACTCAGTCATCTCCTACAGTCTCTCCCTCAACCCTGCCCTCTAAGTCAACTATTTCCTCATTTAGTCCTGTAGTTTCTTTCAACCTGATTAAACTGAATTCAAATGGGCAGCAATCCTAACTATCTATCTGCTCAGAGTAACAAGAACCTGTCTTCCACCGCAGGAAGTAAGAACTTTCAAGCACCCCAAAACGACAACGATGCTCAAGTGAGTAATCTTGTCCTTACCTACTGCTTGCTCTGTTTTTAACATTTTCTTTAACATTTATCCCCGAGTTAACGTAATTCCCCGAGACTGAGCACTCATATTTTAACAATAGATGTGTTTATGCTATGAAGTTCATGCTGTCTTACACTAATAAATTCTAGCTTGTTCTCCAATAAACATGCAAGTCACAATACACCAAAACCCTCCATTCCCAATCTTCAATTAAGCATTTCTTGATTCTGAGCTCCAAATCCTTTCTAATTGGCACACATCTGATTATAAAAATAAAACAAGAATGAGTGTTTCTTGGTTTAAGTGTTAAGTTAAATAAAACTAGCAAACGTTAGGGATAGATGCTAACCTGACCTCAGACAAAACAAAGAATTAAGCTGTTTCACTTACACTTTAAACAAATTGAAGCAACACATTAGAAATCAGATTCCCAACTCTGATCTATTTGAAGCATGGATTACTTTTCACTGAATAGTGTTAAACATCAATTTTGAAGTCTTACACAGTTTTACCTTGCAACATTAGACAAGTCAAGGTGTTTTTGGACTTCCAGTAACACTTCTCGAAAGAAACGTAAGCGTTTTTCCTCAAACTGCTGACACTGTTCAAATACCTGCTCCATGTTTTCCATATACTGAGGAGTGGCATTATCTAATTCTTTCAGTGATTTCTCATACTTTTCTTTTGTCTGGGAATAGAAAAAGCAAACAGTTAACAATGTATTTTATTACTACCCTACATAACAGACTTATCAATGCAGTAATGGCCAAGATTTAGACCAGAAGTTCCCAGGCTGCATTCTCTTTTCATGACCACAGCACCTATGCTAGGTCACGGCGAGAGTTATTTAACAAAACTGCAGAACAGTTACCATAAAGTTCTAAGCCTCTTTTCTGGCTTTTTAACAGAAACCATGACAAATGTTTATGCAACGCTAAAGATAAAAAACAAAGGAGCCAGAGAGTAGATCAGAGCAGGCAGCCTTTCAAGCTACAGGTCTCTTCAAGATCTCTGAATAATTCCAAAGTGTAGTCTTTTCCCCTTCAGTGATTTACACAGTCCACTGAGAGACACAACCAAAAAAACCAAACACTGTATCCATCCCTGTGAACGTAAACTGCATATGCAGTGAGCTCAGTTAACAGGTAGAGCCTCAGACTCTGCACTGATTTGCAGAAGTAGTCAAGATGGGAATTAAAAGCTCCCACCTGATCCAACAGCAGCCCTTCAGATCACAGAACAGCATCCTCAAAAGGAAAAGATGTCTTTAAAGAAGGTCACACAAGAAAAGCTTTTTGGTAGCAGCCCACTAAAGACAGAAACCAAACCGGGCCGAAGAATGGTATTTCCACAACTGTGTTTACTTTTATTTACATGACTCAGTTTATTTTCTTAAAAAAATACATCCTGCAGTCCAGCATGACTACAAGTTTAGATGTCAGCAAGCTTTCAGCACTCAACCCTCACCACTACATGAGTGGTGTCTCTCCTAGAAGTTGGCTTAATCTGCTTCCTTCCTTGCTGAAAGCACTTAGGTGGAATGGAAGCAATATGTTATCCTCTCTTCACAGAACGTGGCAATGACGTACATTTATTGAGAAAACTCTCTTGGTACGGGACCGTCACTGAACGTGAGCTGCACTGCACTCCGCAGCACATCAAGGAAGGGAATAAAAGCTGAAATATGCTTAAGCTACAGGTTAAAAATGCCGCGTATGAACCGTACGTTAGCATCAGTTATACCTTTAGCACGTCTTGTTTGCTTCTCTCCACTTTGTCTTGTAATTTCTTAAGTTGTTCAGGATTTAGTGCTGGGTCAGCTTTGCTGTTTGTTTCTCTGGATACTGCCAGTTTCTCCTCTTTGCAGGCCGCATGGTATGCTTTCTTTGCAGCTTCCACCTACAAAGTAGATTTGAATCTTTGCACCTGGGACAGTTTATGCAACAACCATCAACCGATTTGCTTAGCCTTATAATCATGTCACAATGAAGAAAGGTTTTGTTTCAGAATGTTCTCTTCTTTTTTTCATTTAGGTCAAGAAATGAACAATAGACAAGAATCAAAGTAAGGAAATTACTGTAATACTTATGAATTAGCATTCTCTCACCATACAAGAAATGTCACTCAGAACTTAGAGAAGTGTGGAACAGACTTAAGAAAAGTCCCCAAAAGAACATTTTTTCCTTTGCCCATGTTCTCCTGCTCCCCTTCTTTTACAAGCCTATTATTTAAGAATAATGTTGCACAAGGAGAAAAAACCCACAGACTTTTCCCCTGCTCATTTCTTTGAGCAATTTGTAATTTTCAAATGCATGAAATCAGATGCTGTTAAAATGATATAGCTTAAATTCCACTTTTTCCAGATTTTCACTGAAGTCAAGATTAGTAGAGACCAAAAGAAAAATACTCATTTTCAGAAGAGGACAGAAAGCAAGAGATCTTTTTGAGAAAGGAGGATCCAGCAGAGAGAATAGGGAGTTTACTCCCTATAGAGATATTAGACATTAATATATGGTAACACAGGATATCCAATACATAATCTACTGCTGTACCTCTTTCAGCTTTTTTGCCCAGGGTTTCTGAGCTTTCCTAAATCCATCTTCTGCTTCTTTGGTTTCCTTAAATCCTCCCATCATTTGCTTATGAAAGGCTTCCTTCTGCCAGTTCTTGATTTTTTCAAAGTCTTCATTCATCAGTGAACCTTTTACTTCTAGATGTAGTTCACTCACTTTTTCAGCTTCTGACATAAAAGCACACCAAGCCCTTTCTACTGTTCCATACTGTGGGCCTAAACACAACAGAAAGTGTCATTCTCAGTAACCATCACCCACATGGAACTTATATTCCCAAGAAACTACCTGAAGCTATTGACCTATATTTACTTGTAAACAGCAATATTGATGCAAACCTAGGAAAGGGAACGGTTTCTTTTCAGATAAATTTAGAATATTACAAATTTCTACACCAGGAGAAATAATATTCATTTAGTCTGGCCTCCTTCTCCCTGCACCATGATTCCCAGTACTCCACCTATTGGCTCCTCTTTGAACTGCCTTCAGTTTCTCAACATAGTTTTCGAAGCATGGATAACCAGGAAAGGACAAACTACTTCAGAATACATTACAGGGGTATCAGATCAGTCTTCCATTAGAGCAAGGCCTACCTCTGCTATTACTAGTCTTTCTCCCCCAGCCACTGCCCCCTAATTATTCAGGTACACTTTTCCAACTCTGTTCTATGTCATTACTTACCTAGAAAGAGCCAGTTCCCTAGAACTGAGTCTATCTGGATACTTCAACACTGGAGGCAAGATTCATCTGCTTCAGTAAGAAACAAGTAAACTAGCAAATGAGCAAGACTTTGCTTGTTTGTAATTAAAAAAGCTTGATTACTAGTTCCACTACCCAGCCTTATGCACAGACTCTGCTATAGACTAAAAAGTACAAAATCTCTACTTTGTACTTACCAAAACAAAGATATACAGAAATATTTTTTTTTCCCATTTGAGAAAGTTTTCAGAGTTCAAAATAAGAAGGCATTACCTTTTTCTACAAGCTGTTTCCATCTTTTGGCCCATTCTGTAAGCTGCTGAGCATAGACCTTCTCTATTCGTGCCCGTTCGTGAATACAATTCATAAGGTCATTGCAGAGTCTGTGACCGTCATCAATTCGTTTTACTGTTCGCTTGTAATTTCCAACCTAGAAAGAGACAAATACTTAACAATTCCTGCTTGAAAGCTCTGAAAAGACGACAAATCTTGAATTAACACAAATACTGTTAACTAGGAGCAAGATATTCTAATTACAGGACTTAATTCTAGCATAAGGTATTTTTCAGTCGATCTTAAAACCTAACTGCAACACCATCACAACAGCCACAAGTGCTCCTGTAAGTTAATTTTAAAAGTGAAAACTTTATTATATTTTATTAGTCCTGCAATGTAATTATGGGTAGTCATTACAATTGTTCTGCATTATTATTGCTCAGTAACATCTTACATAATCAAGATCACAGAATCATAGAATGGTTTGGGTTGGAAGGGACCTTAAAGCCCATCCAGTTCCAACCACCTGCCATGGGCAGGGACACCTTCCACTAGACCAGGTTGCTCCAAGCCTCATCCAGCCTGGCCTTGGACACTTCCAGGGATGGGGCATCTACAGGTTCCCTGGGGTTTAACACAAATTTATTTAACACAAATATATTTAACACAAATACAGTATTTCCATCTTCTGTGCTTCTTATTAAGTACTTAATGCCTTAATTTTATGCTGTGTTTAATATTTCAGGATTAATAAAGCTTCAAGGACATGCAAAGGAGTATTGCATCATCTCTATCAAGCATAATCATCATTTTTGTTTAAGAAAGCAGCATGGAAAAAGCACCACTGCTGTATATACAGTCGAAATCGGATGTGCCCTTTGTTACGGCTGTGCTTCACTGCTGAAAAAACTAGATAACTACTTCAAAAATACACTGTAAAACTTCATGTGGGAAGATACCGCCAGCAATGACATGGAGTTCCCATACCAAGAATCAACTTGCCAACTGTAAAGAAAAACACCAGAGTTGTACAATGTACAAGCTACAAAAGGAAGAGGGTATGGAGAAAAATGCACATTATATAATGTAAACCCATCCTATAATTGACATTTTTCATTTTTGCGTACACACCAACATGGAATCACCAATCTAGATGACTGAAGGGGAAAAAAGCCTGATACTGCTGCCAGAGTAATACTTCCACTTACTTCAAGGTCACCCAGGTTGGCTTTTGTAAATATTAAACAAGACATAAGAACTCGGTTAACAGAATTTGCACAGCCTATTAAATATCACAGTCAGTTTCTTATCTGCCCTAACCACCTGACTGAAAAATAAAGAGTAGCAGTAAGGTAGTAGAATAAACATTCGAATACTTACAGCATGTTTGGAATTTTTACATTTGAATCATATCTGATTCACATCTTAAATACAGGAAACCATCCAACTTTTAGGTTCAAATTTATTCAGAATTTTGTCAGCAGATGTACATGCAATCCATCTGCTTGAGGAAAAACTACTCAAAGTATATAGGGAAATACCCTTAAAAGGGGGAAAAAAGGTATCTTAAACACTGTAAAAATAAGTGACTTTGCTGATAAATACAGACATATGTTAAGATTCCTCATAGAATCATAGAATGGTTAGGGTTGGAAGGGACCTTAAAGATCATCTAGTTCCAACCCCCCTGCCATGGGCAGGGACACCTTCCACTAGACCAGGTTGCTCCAAGCCTCATCCAGCCTGGCCTTGGACACTTCCAGGGAAGGGGCATCCACAGCTTCTCTGGGCAACCTGTCCCAGTGCCTCACCACCCTCTCTGGGAAGAATTCCTCATCAGAGCTGGGGAAAAAAAAAACCCAGAAAAATCAAAACCATCACTGACAGAACAAAACCAATTAATTTAGTGGCCTCAAAGCATTCATTTGGGTAAAGTTTCAGTGTTGGACTAGATCCATTTCAACAGATCAAATAAATTTAGGTATCATGTAAGAAAAGCATTAATTAACAGTCACTGATTTGTTTAAATCATTTAAAAAGTACACACACGCCGCCTGTAAACGTATGTCACAATATAATTGTCGGTAAGAAGCTACCAGCATCACAAAGAAGCAGACACCAAAAATCAAGAGTCAATGCATCCACGTCAAAAGAGATTCCATCTATTAACTAGGAAGTATGAAAAATAACCTCTCATTTTCAGGAGAAATAAAAATTGAGAAGTAGGCAGTTTCAAACTACACTGTACACTAACAAACATGATATACATACGTACTCAAAGCATTAAGAAAACTCAAAGAATACCTTCTAAAGCCTTCGTAATGGAAGGGCAAACCATTCATCTGCCCAAAATCACTCCAGCTGCAGGCTGACAGCCAAGCACCCTGTTAAAACAGGTTCTGCTAGCTTGGCATATCCACCGAAGCCTTATATTAGCATCAATTTGTGTCTCCAGTTACGCACCCAGGGATTTATGTCTCTAGCATGAACGTTTCCTTTCATAAATTTTCACTCTTAAATTAGTGTTTTAAACGCTAAGATAGAACAGGCTGCCTCATGGTATTTTTAATGCTTTCATTTTGCATTGTCTGAGCAAATTCTAACCTCACGATGCTATCTAGCCATCGCCAAATCTCAGGCAGGTATTTGGGACAAGAGTTTACCTTACCTGTTATGGCCCAACCACGGTTATCCCATAAGGCCGCCGTGACAGAGCTGCATGCAGACCACAGATAACGCACCCATGGCACCTCCTTCTCCACAGGAGGAGTGAAGGAACGAGCCTGATTCTAAACTATAATGCCTACAATACTAGAAAACAACCACCATTTATTCCAAAGAAACCCTTCTATATTATATTTTCAAGCAAAGAAAAAAAAGACTTCACCTGATTTATGAAACAGCAGTTGGAAGTATGTTAGACATCACATTCAAATTTCATGCCCTAGGGCAAGTGCTGTAATTTTGGAAATACAGCATTCTTCTGTGTTTTATAACATTTTTAAAACTTAGTGGTTTATTAAAAAAGTGGCATTTTAAGCTACAAAGACTGCAGCCAAATTTCTGGAGAAGTATAACGTGCAGCCTGCTGGTGCAGGAGGCAGACTCGGAGGAACAAGAGCACGAGGTGTTTAGACCACAGGGCCAAGTGAAGGGACAACAACTCTCATCTTCATGCAGCCCAGGAACTGCAGATAAAACAATTACAATTGAAAACCTACAAACACACTAAAGGCACCCTGAATTCTGGGGAAGAAAAACATGACTTAATTCATTCTTTTAGTCAAGACTATTTTCTCCAGCTCCTGAGGCAGACTGCAACCGGTCTGCAAGACTTCCCCCTTCCCCTTCACAAGTACTTGAGCTAAACCAAAAATGATGAATTCTTTTATTTGTAGCAACTGACTGAGGGGGAGGGGAGGGGAAGGGAAAATAACCCCATGTTTCTTTCAGTCAGAGCTATGCTTACATA